CTACCCTAATCATCGACCTCCATACCTTTCTATCAAGGATCATGTCCTATGTCAGCTGAAGCTGCGCCATGTCTTGCCTAATCACCTCTCCCCACCTCTTCTTTGGCCTACCTCTACCTCTCCGTAGGCCCTCCAATGTCACCTCTCACACCTCCTCACCGGGGCGTTTGTGATCCACCTCCTCACATGACTAAACCACCTAAGTCGCGCTTCCCGCATCTTGTTCTCAATAGGGGCCACACCCACCTTGTCGCGAATAACCTCATTTCTGATTATATCTAATATGGTGTGCCCGTACATCCATCTCAATATCCTCATCTCTGCTACCTTCATCTTCTGGACATGAGCGATCTTGACTGGCCAACACTCGACCCCATACAACATCGTTGATCTAACTACCACTCTGTAGAACTTACCCTTAAGTTTCGGTGGCACATTCTTGTCACACAAAATACCAAAAACGAGTCTCCATTTCATCCATCCTGCCCCAATATGATGTGTGACATCTTCATCAATCTCTCCACCCCCTGAATAATAGACCCAAGATACTTAAGACTCTCTCTTCTAGGGATGACTTGCGAGTCTAGCCTCACCTCCCCTTCCCTGCTTGAGTCTCGCCACTAAACTTAAAACTCTCAAGCTACTTAACACCTTATACTATTTGGTAAAGATAATTCAAAAGGTAAAAGAGTGGCCAAGATAATGATCAACTTGTCTTGAGTTCTAAATGTATCTAGCTCAGTCTAATCTTAACGTTCCAAACATATAATAGGAGTAGTTTTTTAGTTTGTCATTTTTGAAAAGTCACTACCAATCATTTGGACTTGGGAGACTCTCTAGGAGTTGAAAAACACTTGTTAGTTCCCACTTTTTTCTATTTGTTGTTAATTTCTCTCTAACAGAGATAATATTTGTAGTTGTATGAATTACATAATTTGTATTCCATCTCTTTACTGTAAATTCATTCATGAAGATCAAAAGCATTTAAATAATACTTACTATGTAAAACACATGTATTTCTTTTCAAAATATCGCTTGTATGAATGTATCCTTTTCTCTTTATTTTATTTCTAAATGTATCAATGTATCTAACTTTAAATTCCAATCCATTTAATTAAGTCCTTGGAATAACATTTTCCACAAATACAGAAAAGTAGAGGAAGAGAAAGAGACAAGATGGGAGGAAAAATTGTTGTATAATTTTTGGGAGGAGCAATAATTTAGACCTTTTGCTAATGTTGGGACATGGCATGACAAGAATACTTGCAATAGTAGTATATCAAAAGAAATGGAGTTACCTTTTCCACACTCCCGGAAAGCAAAATCAACCTTTTATGGATCTAGTCTATTATAGTATACTTCTCACCATCATTTTCTTTTGTCTTACCACATAATAATTCATACCAAAAATTCATGCATGCTATCCATCATCTCTAAGATGTTTTACTAGTACTTCTTCTTGATCATAAAACTCTAGACATTCTAATTGGTCAAAAAGAAGTCTAGTCCCCTTGACTATATGCTAATGATTCCTAAATCTAATCTATTTGACTCAAAAGTAGAAGAACTACAAAAGATGAATCATGCATTGCTTTGAGAATTTGCAACAACTAGTTTCTAAAAGTTTGTGCAATATTATCTTTCATCAAGTATTGCTTCCTTTGAGAAGAAGAAATCAATTTGCTGTTGCTATTCTAGAAAAACATTTTTGAAAACCTTTTCTTTTGAAACATAGATATAGTAGAACTTGTTATTCCTTCCATCCCATTTTAATTGTTGCTTTAACTCTTTTAAGCCAATAAAAAATAAAAATTACTAAGTTACCCCTATTAAATGCCTTTCAAAAATTGAACATTGCTCAAAAGAATTATTACTTATTAAAATTAAGGATACCAGTCTTAGAATATGTACTTTGCGCGTATATCCATATCAGTAAGTATATAATTTTTTCATGTAGATTTTGATGTGTATTCATATAAATCATTATAATAGTGTTTAAAATAGTTAATTTTATCCGTATATAAATTTTAAGGTAATTTTTTGAGTTAACTAATTAAAAATATTTGGTTAGCAATATTTTGGTGACACAATACCTGAGTTCAACTCATTGGATCTCACTTAATTTACGAATAATGTTGTTGATCTATGTTCTCTTAGCACTTTGAATGGCTTTGTCACAATCATACTGTTAATACTAATATTTGTCATAAATTTTATAGTTATATCATAATTAAAAAAAAAATAGTAAGGTAATCTTAATTTATTCTAAACTTATAAATATAATAATTGCCTACATAGTTCGAGTGAGAAAAAAATTAATAAATAAAGTATTTTTTATTTAAATGTTCTTAATATTAGAAAAATAAGTAAATGACCCCATTTAATCTTATCTTTTACTTAGAATAATAAGTAAATAACCCTAGTTATTCCTCATAAATTGTATTTCTTAATTTTAATTTAATATGGAAGCAAGATAATAATTGAAAATATATTATATACACAGCTTTTCAATTATGATAATATCTTGGATTAATTGTGTGTAACCATTAAGAAATTAAGATTAATATATTATCTGTTTGTATTTAATAAATAAGACATTATGTTACTTAGTATAGTCAAAATATAATAGAAAAAAAAATATTATATTAAGAACAATTTTTCCTTTCCGTTGTAAAGTATGTCCACCTTTTTTTACTTGTCCTTATAGCAATTCTTTAAATTAAATTTATTCTAATCCTTAGAGTTTTAGTTGGTACAACATTTAAGTAAAAGGGTCAAACTTTCTAATATTTGGTAAGAGAAGATCTAAGTTAAAATCGTGTTTTAATATTTAGCTTAGAATTATTGCTTAAATCTTAGAAGAAATAACTTTTAAAAGGAAATAATTATATAACTAAAATCTTTCTTAATTACAAAATTCTAAATAGTTTAATAATGAAAGATTTGATATATGTTTTAATTAATTTTAAAGTACTAAATATTAAAAAATATAATTAAACGACTATTCCTAAATATTAAAAAAATAATTAAATGACCGTTTCTAAATATTAGAGAAATTAGTAAATGAATAATCCTAAATATTAGGATAATAATTGAAAGACTACTTTTTCCAGTAAATTATTAGATGAATAACCCTAATATTAGGATAATAATGTAAAGACAATTTTGTCTAGTCTGAACTCTAGTTTTAAAGGGTAAAAAAGGCGAATGATATTTTGCTAAGGAGTTTCGTGCTTTTAATATAGTATATAGATATAGATAAATAATTAAAAACACTATAACATATTTAGTCTTGAATTAATGTTATAATTATTTTGGGATAATTATTTTGAAATAAAGTGACTGTTAATTTGGTATGGAGGGAGTAAGTGTTGCAAAAATGAGAATTATATTTCGCCAGTGTTACTAATAAGTAATTAACCATCACGAGAGTAGAGACTGGAAGCTTTTATTGGTTTAAAATCTGAAACTACAACAGATATACGGTCTTTACATTTCGAAATGTTTTCTTTAAATAATTATATGTTTCCTTTGCCTGTTTATCTGGTACAAATAATATAGCCCAAAATGTGAGCGGTTTGAAATGTTACTCTATTCATTTCGGAAAATCTACTTCTTTATGAATTTATGTTGACATATCAACAACTTTTCTGAAAAAACCAAACATTTCTAGCATGCTTATGCTTCACCAGAAAAGGAAGTCACATTTATTAAAAAAATTCCAGCACAAACTTTTCCTTTGATTACATTTGTAATAAAATTATTTTAATTTCCAATTCATTAACTTAGTAACTTTCTAGATGGTGGTTGTATCACGCAAGTACTTGTCTTCTATTTGCACCATAATAGATTGTAGGTGCATCGTGTTTCTAGCATGGAATGATTAAAAATCCTTTTAATGGAAAATTGTCACAATTTGAGTCAGGCAAATAATAGAATTTCCTATTTTTACACTGAAATAATCCAATGTTTTATAGTATGTACAAATTCAAAGGAAAATGTCAGTACTTGGATTACAGAGAATAGAGTGAAAATATTTGTGTTTACTCGTAAAATGATATAGTTGAATTTATTACGTGATTTATAAACAAGCGAACTGATTTGATCCAAAATAATAGATATATAAGACTAAAAATAAGACTTAGCAGTTAAAATAGAAGGAAATGACAAGCTTGGCTCATAGCAATGACTCCAAGGACAGAAATAAGAATAATGTAAAAGAGCAAATAAAGTTATGAGATTAAGCTTGAGAATGAAATATAACATAAGTTTTGCCAAGAATTTCGTGTCTTAACAATGTCTATTAAATGTACTATTTGTAGCTATACCTAAGAAAACAAATCCTAGGAAGGCCCATCAATGAATATGTAACGGTAGACCATGAATGCAATTATTCTCTGTAATTGCTGCTCATTGAATATTAGGGAATTATTATTTATTGAATGTTGTCCGATGGCAAACATTCAAACCGCTCCCGTTGACCAGGCACCCTTTGACTTCGCCTTTTACCTGTCTTCGGTTCCACTTGGCACGCTATCATTTGACTATTTATTACAAATCAATTTTGCACAAAAAATTTGGCTGACATTTAAACTTACCTTTTATTTATTAGCTTTTGAATTTAACTATTAGCATTCTGGTCTCAATTAGTTTTTTAGAAAATATTTTTAGCTACCATTTTTGCTAATTTCTGTAAAAGCTATAACATTTAAACTTGAATTAGTTTCAGAAATGAAAGTCCTATTTTCAGTTCAAAATGCTATAGCTTTTGAATTTATGAAAAAGTCATTTTAAAAAAGAATCATAAATGTAGAAACATCCGTGCAGAGCACTCAATTAATGCTCATGCCTCATGTAAATTTAACAATTTTAAAAATACATCGCATCAATCAATTTTATGAAAATAAAAAGAGTAGGCCAGCAGTACTATTTTCTGACTCACTACTGCTAGTGGCAATGTCGTTATATATCCCAATATTTAAGGTCATTCTCTTACGTTACTCTCTTCCCCAAAAAGCCCCTTTTCTTCTCTCTATTATTTGCACACATCACTCCCCATTTCTGCACAAACCTTTCACAGAAAATTATGAAACCCCTCGAAAATCACACCTCCTCTACCGCCACAGCTACCACTTCCTCCGCCGTGCCGGAACCCGAAATTGAAACCGAAACTGGTTCTGCGGTAGAGTCTGGCATGTTCTCTGACGATATTGATAGTTCATGTTCCACTCCGTACGTTAGTGCTCCTTCAAGTCCAGGCCGTGGCCAACCACATAGTGGCTTCTATTACAGTGCTCCGGCGAGTCCTATGCACTTTGTTTTGTCAACTACAAGTGTGAAGAAGAATGTTGCTAGCACATCAATTTCTTCTCCTTCTGAAGATTTCGACTTCTCTGCTAGGCTTACTACCGACGGCGCCGCCGCGGATGGATCCATGAGCTCTGCCGACGAGTTATTCCTGAACGGCCAGATCCGGCCGATGAAACTTTCTACTCACCTTAAACGCCCACAAATCCTCGCACCATTGCTTGATCTCGACGAAAATGAGGACGAAGAGGAGAAAGGCTGTAGGGGAAGAGATATGAAGCTGCGTAATAGATCGTTGAGAAGAAGGACTAGATCCATGTCACCACTTCGAACGACGTCGTTCGAGTGGCACGAGGATTATGAAGAGGAGGAGGAATTAGAAGTTGTCAAGGAGAAGATAAACGAGAAGAATGAAATAGAAGAGATAATAAAACAATTAGATGAGGAAGAAACTTCGAATGAAACGACGCCGTGTCCTTCTGGGTCTTCTTCGAGGTCGTCTTCAGTTGGGAGGAGCTCAAAAAGATGGGTATTCTTAAAGGAGTTTTTATATAGAAGTAAAAGTGAAGGAAGAAACAACGGTCACAAGTTTTGGAGTGGGATCTCGTTTTCACCTGTGAAAGACAAGAAACTGGAGAAAATTTCAGCCCACAAAACTCCAGAAAACTCTGCAACTGACTATGCAAACACCGCTGAAACTAAGAAAGTGAAACAAACAAAAGAAGGGAAGAAGAAGCCTGTGAATGGAAATGTAGCAAATGGGATAGGGAAGAGAAGAGTGCCGCCGTCGCCTCATGAGTTGCACTACACTACAAATAGAGCACAAGCAGAGGAAATGAGGAAGAAGACATTTTTGCCGTACAGGCAAGGATTGCTTGGATGTTTAGGGTTCAGTTCAAAGAGTTATGGAGCGATGAATGGTTTTGCTAAAGCTTTGAATCCTGTTTCTTCGAGGTAATAAAATTTGTATATCTAATCATAATTATTATTATTATTACTATATCTACTATCATCCATCAGAGTGGACTGTGGAGAGATATTTTTAAGTGATTGTATAGATTTTTCTTTTCATTTTATGGTAATGTTTTTTATGTTATTCTGTTATCTATTTTGTATGTAGTAATTGATGGCAAATCCACTACTGCTTATTGTGATGGGATTTTGTTTAGCCATTCATGGAAACTTTATGTTAGATCCTCTAATTTTGCTTGTGAAAAAGAGTTTCATGAGATCATCTTTTTCTCCTATGAGATCTTTGGCTATGGAAAGTTATTAGCATGGGCAATGCAGTGCTAGAATACAAATTGCTTAGGTAAGCAGTGAAAAGGGTAGTAAATATTCCCCAGGACTCCTCATCTGTTATTCTAGTAGATTTGTCCTTTTCACTTTATCAGATTCCCAAACAATACCGATTAGTTTTAATTAATTTTTGGATCTTTTCCAAAGGAGCTATTTTGCATATATTGTCTCTAATTTTCTGTTTTCTCCTCTATTGTTAATGTCGTTACTCCATACGTTAACTTTAAATAACACACTTTCCTTATTAGTCTTATATTGTCCCTAATAACATATTTTTATATTTAAAAATAATTTAACTTCAAGTTTTTTATTTTATCCATTTTACCTTAACGAGAAACTTTTATAGCCACACAAAGCTTTTGCCCCTTAAGTTTTTAGGATCACATGTTTCAAAAGTGCCTTTTTTTCCCCTAAATTTTGTATCAAGTCAAACTAATATCTCGTTTAAAGGTATAAAATAAGCGGCGAATGCATTAATTCATCGAACCATTTTATTATACTTGCCTATGATAATTTCTCGGCGGTACAGGAAAAACTTATAAAATACAACCTAACAAGCTAAGGGTGTATGTCACAATGAAAAGAAGAGATTCAGCCTAGCCTCTTAAAGAGTAGGCATAAATTCCGGATATAACTCTTATTGAAAAAAATTACTATGAGGTATGATTTTAAACGGTCGTTTCGGTGAGTAGAATGTAATACTAATATACTGTTTTACTTTTATTTTCTGGCTTCTGTTAATAATGTGGTGGTTCCAGTAGGATCTTATTTGAAGGAAGGCTACATTAAACTATAATTGGGTGAAGTGTAAAAAGTCTGGTCTCTAAAAGTTGTTGGAATTATAGGAGGTGATAGGACGCAAGATATACCATGAATTGCATTATTTACATGGTGATATTCGATTTCTTAAAAACCTATGATTTGACGCACATGGTCATGGAACAGAGCCATTTGGCAGGTATAGTAGAAGAGGCCCCTACACCCACACCAAACCCAGACCCGCCTATTGCAAAAGATGGGCCTGTTGCCTTTTGTCAACAATATCATCAGAAGCTTGAGCTGTTCTTGGCTGTATCTTCTGAGGGCCAGCCTTGTATTGAAAGACTCAAGCATATGCATATGCATATGCACTCTAGTGATTAAGATGGCTGGTTACATTCCAAGATAAATGGAAAGCGTCTGACGGTAGAGTTATTTGATACTTGTGCTAAAAACACGAGAGATAGGCATATTGGTTGTCCTCTAGCATAGACGAAATAGTAACGTGCAAGTTGGCTCTAATACCACTCTTGAAAAAGCAAAAAAGAAAAAGAAAAAGAAAAAGAAAAAAAGGTGTTTGTTTGGATGTGATGTATAATACCATAATGGCCTAAGTTGCGTTTGTTTTCCTCTTTGCATCTAAGTGTGATGTCCAAAAGGTGTTTGAAGTTGAAGAAGCAGTTTTTTGTCTCATCTTCTTATTAGTTTATAGTCTTGATATATGGACAAAGCAGATCTAGATTAAATAAAAAAAATTGGGAAGCTTGTTTACTCATTCTCATGGGGTCTCTTTGTTCCTAGATGTTGACATAAAGTAGTTTCAGGTTAGGCAACATACTAACATGGCCTTTTGGCTAATGATATATCTGTTGTCAATGTAACATACAGTACTTCTTTTTCCATTTCCCTTTGCATTTATTCACCAGATATTTCTTTCTCTTTAACATTTAATATTGTAATACAACTACTCTTAACATTTTTTTACAACCTTTCCTCTACTTCCCCTCCACAAGAGGGAATTAATTCATTAATTAATTAAAAGCTACCCCCACAGGAAAATAAAATCGTTATCGTGTTCCATCAAAGCTTATAATCTAATGATAGGGTGAGAGACTCTCAAATAAGAGGTGTAGACAATAAGAGGTGTAGATCCCATTGTCCTCCTCCTTCCTCAGTCCTCCTATATAATAGTAAAATAAGTGTTATTTAGGGGAAAAACGCATTAATTACTTGTCATATTTCAATGGTCCTTGTAATATGGCCAAATACATAGATAGATACCGAAACTTGGCACAGACTTTCACATGGACACTTAAAGTTTGGGTCTTTCCTATCAAGCACTCGAACATCCTCCCAAGTGTGCCAATTAAACACAGGCTGTTAACTTGTAATATAGCGTGACTTTAATAAAAAATAGGCGTGTGAATCCGCTTATAAAGGATTTGGTTTTTACCGTTAAAATCCTCCATGTCAGCAAAAAATCAATCTTCACGCACTTATTTTTTTATTAAAGTCACGCCGTATGACAAGCTAGCAGTCTATGTTTAATTGGCACACTTGGGAGGATATTCGAGTGCCTGATAGAAAAGACCCAAATTTAAGTGTCCATGTGAAAATCGGTGCCAAGTTCCGGTTCTTGTGCCTATCTATGTATTTGGCCTTGTAATATTAAATGAAGTAGAATAGCATTTGTGTTATATATCTGTCAGTTAATTTAGATGATAGTTGTTGGAGCATAGACTTGTCATATTAAAATGGTCCTTGGATGTAATACTTATCATGATTCTACATAGTACTCTTTCACTTTGTATAGAGATAGTAAATATCTGGTTTTGGGACCATTAGAAAACCAACCACCATACTTGTCTAGATTATTTATTCTGAATTAAATGAATAGACATAGCTGAAGTAAAATCACTTAATAAAAATCACCTGATCTTCTATTTCTATGTTTTAGATGTATAAATGCAAGTTTTTTAATGAATTATTTTTGAAAAGTTAACCAATAAAAGGAAGACACTTGTTTCTGGAACAAAACTAGGTATATAAATTTTGGAAAGTGCCTTCTGATAGATTCACATTTCAGATGAAAGTGCCAGTTTTACTTATGTTACTAACTGATTTTTGATTTGTTGGCCTGAGTGCCTGACCAGAAATTAGCTGGAAAAATCTGGCACAAGGGCCTACTACTTTTTTTTGTGTGTGATTGCATCCTCCTGTTTAATTTTGTTTTCTTCTGTATTTACAATGTTCGTTAAGGTCTTATTTATATATTTACCAGGTCAACAAAGACTAAATATTTATTTTAAAAAAAGACAAAAATATGTGGGTTAGGTGCATATGTCACGAGTTTAAATTCTATCACAAATAAAACTTGATATTTAAGTCGGGAGGAGGGTAGAAGGACGAGTCCTTACCCTTTTGAGTTATAAACCCGTGAGCCAATTGTTTGACAAAAAAATGATAATTATCGGTTAAATTAATTAATCAGTTATTAAGAAGGGTGAATCCTAGTTAAAGTTGATAACTTCAGATCATGATTTGGAAGTATGAACGGTATGAGCAGTGAAGAAATGGAATTAATATGCTAACAATAAATGTGTCGAATGTAATGTCATGGGCGGCTTTCCAGCCATGCCCCATGACCCCTTGGGCGCGCCCCGTGGCGTCCTAGCAAACCTCCCAATGCCTAGCGCCACGGACGGCCCCGTGGTCTTGGCCGCGCCAAGTGACAAGCGCGCAGGTGCCTCTGTCGCCCCACTGATATCCCTCGCGAGCGCCAAGCCGCAGGCAGAAGCCAACAGCGCCGCGCACGCAGACAACGCCGCGCGCGCAGACAACGCCGCGCGCGCAGACCGTGATGCCAAAGACACTGCTGCTGACAACGGACCTGCTGCTGCCTTATAGAAAACTAAGTCATTTTCATTGTAAATATAGAGTAGTTTTATTTCATGTACTTCCATTATGTTTCTCTAGCTTAGTCAAGTCTAGTCTTGTAACTTTGAATTATTTTTTTTAAGTACTATTAGAGGGGATCAAGCAATCAAAACTTTCTAGCAAGCAAGCAATTCTCTGTACTGGTGTCTCTCCCCCTCGACCGCGTTGCTTTTCTGTAATAGCTTTCATTAATGCAATCAAGCTTTCTTTCATTCTGAATTCTCATTTCTGTTCTCTCAATTGCTCTTGACATTGGTTTTCCCGTACGGCACTGACAATCTCGTCTAGCGTACGGAGGGGACCTCAGTTGGCGGACAGCAACTGCACTGACATCAGTTGCCTAGCCTTACGTCGCCCTTCCAAGGAATCTCAGGAAGGCGCCGCGTAACAGTTGGTATCAGAGCCTAGGCTCGACATCGGACGAGGGAACGTATTGACATACCACCATTTCTGACCATGGTGAATCATGGGGACCGCATTGCGGCCCTCGAAGGGACGGTTGAGGTATTGCGGCCTATTGTGGATACGGTGCCTGAACTAAGAACCAGCCTACTGCAAAGGTTGGACGACCTGGACCGCAGGGTGCTTCAGGTCGAAGTTGACGTTGAAAACATCAGTCGCGACTTCGAGGGAGACCGGCAGACGGCAGCCACAGAGGCAGCCGAAATCTTTGAGAAATTCGAGGGGCTCCAACAGGAGCGCACCGAGGATTTAGCCCACAGGGCACAAGAGGCAGAAAAGGTGACTGCCATGCAACAAACCATTGACAAATTGACAGACCAACTCAATGTTGTCAACGCTGCTTTACAGAGCCTACTCCGAGGAGGTGGAAACCAAATCGGAGGTGCTGTGAACTCCGCTTCCGTGACAAAGAAACTGAAAATTCCTGAGCCAAAGCCATACAGTGGAGCTAGGAATTCCAAGGAAGTGGAAAACTTCATCTTTGACGTCGAACAGTATTTCGATGCTATTGGGGATCTAGAGGAAGCTAAGAAGGTAGCAACTGCTGCCATGTATCTTCAGGGTGATGCTAAACTCTGGTGGCGTGTGAAGTACGAAGCCATCAAGGCCGGTGAAGATGCTCTCGAGACATGGGCCGAACTGAAGGCAGCTATACGCCTGCAGTTCTTCCCCGAGAATGTTGAATATAATGCAAGGAGAAAACTACGGGAGCTCCGCCAGACAAAATCAGTGCGGGACTACGTGCGAGAATTCTCCGCACTCATGCTCAGCATACGC